GTTCTGTCCTCTAAGGACACTGTGAGTTCGAATCAACTCATGGCAGTGACTTTGGCTTGGCGTTTGGAGGAAAACAAGCTTGGGCTTAAACCCTGAGTCAGGGATGCACCACAACCAATGAAGTGCTGGGGGAAGGACGGAGAAAAGCCGCCGGATTGCCCGATTGCTGCTTTAGGGCCCTTGGGTGGGTGCCGGCCAGCTCATGGCAGCCCTGTGGACAAGTGCAGCAGAATGGAGCCCTGCCTGGTCCAGCACCAGCCTCACAGGCTTCCCCGTGTGTGAGCCCGTCCCTGTAGCCGCTGCCTCATCTCAGCTCACTGGGCAATTATTAAGTTTCACACTCAGAACTATACCCTTTTGGATGTTGGAGCCAAGTAGCAGTGTTTCCTCCCTTTCTTACTGGATACCCATTGCCAGTCGTCAAGTGGATTCAGACTCATCGCGACCCTACAGGACAGAGGAGAACGGTCCCCATTGGGTTTCCACAGCTGTCACCTTTGCAGAAGCAGGCTGCCACGCTCTCTCCCACCGCACACCTGTTGGGTTTGAGCCACCTGTGTTTGGGTTAGCAGTCAAGTGCTTAACCCTTTGCCTCCAGGGCTTGTTCCAAGCTGGACGGAGGGACCCATGTAAGAATCCTGAGGGGCAAACCAACTCTGATGGAGTAAAGCAGACCTCAAACTGGTGGCATCTCCATGTGCCAGGTCTGGTGTTTATATCCGTCATCAAATCTCCTTGTGATGCTATGAGGGACGTAAACTCATCCCATTGGACAGTGAGGCATCTGAGGTTCAGAGAGGGTAAGTAGCATATCCACGGTCACACAGCAGTGGACCGAGCAGGGCTATAAGGACTCAAACTCAGATCTCACACCTCAGCCCACATGTTCTACCTCGTGGGTGCATTCTGCAAAGTGCCATGTGAGGGCCCAGTACACAGGGTGTGGCTTTACAGGACCCAAGGGAGAGACCTGAGAGGGAGGATGGGGGAAGAGATGTTCTTCCCAGAAGGCCTAAGACTCAGCCCCTGACAGGAACCAGGGAGGATGGTTGCACAGGGGAGCTGAGAGGTGCAGGACTTAATCAATAAGCACATGTTGACATATACCTTAATTGATTAATTAAAGCAAACAGTGGGAAGACCTTGGTAATAGACTTTAGACCTTGGTTAAAACACTCATGTTATTGAATCAACTCCAACTCATAGCAACCTGTAGGACAGGGTAGAACTGGCCCTGTGGGTCTCAAAGACTGTAACTTTTTTTTTTTTTTTACTGTAACTCTTTACAGGGGCAGAAAGCCCAGTAGTTCTTTCCAGGGGAGCCTGGTGGTTTTGAACTGCTGACCTTGTGGTCAGCAGCCCAGGGACACTACCAGGGCTCTCAAATAAACAAGCAAAACTCACTACTCACTGCCATGACAGGGTAGAACTGCCCCTGTGAGACTAGGATAATGGGCAGGGAGACACCTTTCCACCAAACAATAGACCAGCCTATAAAGCAAACAATAACAGCCCAGCTGAGCGTGTTCCTCAGAACAATCAATTGCAGGAGATCAAAAGAACAGCCTTTGCTCAAAAGCAAAGATGAAAAGGCAGGAAGGGGTAGGAAACAAAAGGAAGCGGGGAAGCCAGGGCAGAAATGGGGAGAGTCCTTGGTGGGGAAGGCAGCCCCCCAGGAGCTTGCACTGCACGTCCAAACTAGCGAATGCACGCTCGAAACTTTTGCCTCAAGAACAATTTTAAACGTTTCCCAGGGGGGTGCTAGTATTTACGGCAAGATTTCTGTGAGGCTTAAATAAATAATGCAAAATGTTCAGCCCAGCCCTACCCACAGTGCTGCCCTTCGCCCTATATGACAATTACAGGGCTCTCTCGTTAGACTGCTCTCTCATTAGATTGCTGGAAAGAATCGCCGCCTGCTTGTGTTAGGAGCCGGTGAAAAGGAGTGTGATTCACTGTATTCTGCTCCCAAGCCGTCGGGCTGACTGCCCTCACGCGGGATTCTTCTTCTAAGAACTCTGAGTTTTGTTTGCTGTTGGATGATCCCCTTTATATATATCTAAAATGGCCAAAACCCTCAAATCCTAACCTTGAGCCCGAGTCGCAGGGGCCACCTGGAGGGCAGGCTTCCCCCGCAGCCCAGAGCTGTCCCCACCCAGGAGGACCGGGAACCCTGTGGCCTGGCAGGTGTCCAGAAGGCGGAGCCCGAGTCCCCCCGCCGCCAGGCGAAGACAGACAAGGACTATCTGCGCATCCAGGCGGCGCGGGATGCGCCTTTTCCCGCGATTTTTAAAAAAATAATTCTTGCCATCACAGGACAAGCACGAAACTGAAACGTAAGCAGAATGGGGGAAGGAAGGGACTATTTCGTGCACGTGTTACGTCTTCTCCAGCTCTGGGAAGGCCTCCCGCACTTTAAAAAGGAGCCCTTTGATTTCTCCCGAGCAGAGAGAGGGTCTCCTTCTCCATAGAAACGCCTGCAGTTTGGCGCCCTCCGCACCGGGGGCAAAGGCCTGGTTGGCGTCCAGAAAGCCAGTTGTGTCCCCTGCCCGAGCCCCGAGCCCCACTACCGCCGCCACCACGCCCCTTGGGGAATTCTCCCGGACCCCGAAAACTTGCCGGGAAAGTTCTTCTCAGGCTTCGGAGCAAAAGTCTTGGTCCCGGGGTCCACTGGGCAGCCCCGCGCCCTCCCTGCCTTTCCAGTTTCCGTGTCCCCCACGCCCCACGCCGAGATCCCTGGCCAGTTGTAAATCTTTCCAAAACGATTTGAGGGTGAGGGTAGGGGCGAGAGGAGAGAGCAGGAGAGAGAGAAACGATGGATTTAGGACTGGCTCGAGGAGGATAATCACTGGGCAGAAAGCCCGGGGACTCGGGGACAGGGTGGCAAAGAGGTTGGCACCGTGTCCGGAAGCGAGCGAGCCATCAGGTGGAGGAGCCTGGGGACCAGTCCGCCGCACGGCTTTGGCTCGAATGCCTGAAGTGGGAGGGGACAGGCGTCCCCAAATGGGCAGAGCTGGCTCCTGCATAAAGCCGCGAGCCCCGCGCGGCACTCTCTCCTGGGAGCGCGCGCTCGCCTTTTCTCCGCGTGCCTCCCGCGCAGCGCCGCCGCCTGCAGCCCGCCGCAGGTGAGTCCGCCGTGCTGCTCTTTATTCCGCCGGGCTCAGTCCCCGCGTGGCGGGGGACTGGCCTGATGAACCCGCTCGCATTTTTGCGCCTTTCCCCTTTTTTGTTTGTTGTTGTCGTTAGGTGCGGCCCTGTTCGCTTTCGACCCCTAGCAACCTCCTGTGGCGGAGCAGAACTGCCCCGAGGATTTTCTAGGCTAGCACCTTCCTCTTCTGGGCAGTTCTGCGCTGCCCCTCTATGAGTCTGACCGACTGGTGGGGCGGGCCCGCAGTGTCCAGCTCTTTCTTCCGAGAAACCATTCGGTGAGCTACCAGCTGACTAGTTCACCGCTGCACGCGCAGGGCCCCTGTTGTTTCTGTTTTTGATGGAGAATACGATCGCCATCGTTGGAACTGAATAAAAGCAGCAACACAGGACAGTCCTGGGCAGCCAGAAAGTACTTTCCCCCAGCCAGAGGCACCTTCCCAAGCCTAGTGAAAATGCAGTGTCTTTCGGTAGGATTTGGGGAGAGGGAGGGGGAGGGGAAGCTGCCCTTCAGCCCCTGTGGAAGAGGGTTTGCAGTGAGCGCCCGACACCCGACAAGCAGACGCCGAGTTATCAGCCCCATTTCAGGCTGTTCTCCAGAACATTACCTAACGTTGGCAGAGTGCATATTTAGGACTTGAAGAAAGTGGGGTTGGGGGTATAGCTGTTTCCATCGATTCGCTCTATCTGGGCTCTTAGGAAGGCTGCAGAGAATACCCACTGGGAGAACGATTCCTGTTTGGGTTGTTTTGTGCCCCAACTCATGACAACCCTGGGTGGCACAGAGTGGAACTGCACCGTTGGGTTTTCTTGCCTTTGTGCAAACCAAGAGAGCCCTGGTGGTGCTGTGGGTTAGCCTTCGGATTGCTAACCAGAAGGTTGGTGGTTCAAGTTTATCAGCCACTCCTGTCTGCTTCCAAAAAGATTTACCCGGCTTGAAACACTGGGATCACTATGACTTTGGACTCAACTCGGTCGCAGTGGGTTTGGCTTGGGTTTCTTCCTTGGTGCCTCTGAGCTTCAAAACACCCGCTATCCAGTTAACACTAGAGCCCACACCGTTTGCTCCAGCCAGGGCTCTGGGAGAATGGCCCCTCACACTTGCAGCCCTGAGTTTGGCAGCTTCGTTAGCAGCTGCACTTTCTGGCAGCTGGAATTCAGACCTGAAAGCTCCTGTAACTCTGTGCTCCGCAGAAGGAAATGTTTTCATCAGGAGACAGACTGCCTGACAGTAACTTCTGTGTTTTTACGATTTACAGCCTTCAAGAACACGGAGCATCTCCCGCTACTTAAAAATCAAACACGACTCAAAATAAAGATTATTGTAAGTATGGAATCAGAGTCAACACTGCAATCCTCTTGATGGCTGAGTGTGATGTGTTTGGATACTCGCTCTTCTAAGTCTGCCCAGCTCCGACTCTTCTCCCTTTTCATTGTTTAAGAGATAGGTGAGCCATAGAAAATGGGAGCCTTCCTGTTTGTACACAGTGCTTTTAGGTGGTTTCTCTTGTGTGATAAAGTAGAGAGTGTGGAATTGAAACCTTGGAATCATCTTGTGTTAAAGCGACGAGCACTATTAGTGATCCCTGTTGGGACTAGTGGTCTCACCCTGCTGCTGGAAACTTCACCAGCCGAAGCTTCCAGATTATGTAAGGGCACAGAGTCAGACCGGGGATGGGCAGAGCTCCTTTTTTCGTTGTTCCACCCCAAGAAGACAGACGGTGCCCCCCACATTGCTGAGTCCAAGCCCCGCTGCAGACCTCGCAGCACGTGCAGCTCTTCTCTCACTGATGGCTGCTTTGAATAGACTCGTGGGCAGTGTTAATGGGCCTGGCCCCACCCTGAGAGATCATGGACGCCAGGGCTCTGTCGGCCACTTGCCTCACCAGGCACCTCTATTGCCTCTTCTGCACAGTGAAGGCCTGAGTTTTGCAATCTTCAAAAATCCCTTCTCACTCTCACATATTTCCATTTTTTTCTACTCTGGACTCTAAGAAAATGTTGCTGCTGAGTTCAAGGGTGAGGTTCTCCAAGAGCCATGTGACAAGGACAGAGGGTGTGGGGGAGACCACCCACGCAGGAAGAATAGACCATCCCTCCCCTCTTGTCTCTTTCTTCCCATTTTTTCCCTTTGATTTTTCTTTCTCTTTTAAAAAATCCTGTATAACAATCCCACCATTCGTTTGCTTAGTATTGTTCTTCACCCGGTAAAAAGACATTCCAACCCACAGGCACAGCGTCCTGGTACCGGAGCAGAAAGATGGTTTCCCTGAATGAACACAGGCACATTTCTCCCTAAGGCCTGTCAGAAACATCTTCCACAATTGTGGGTTTTCCTGAATCACTCTGATGGAATGTGTGTTTTTAAGTCACAGATCAAACCAGAAGAGAAAATAAATAAAATTAAAAGGAGGGTAGAAATACCACACAGAGCTTCTCTGGAATTTCTGCAGGAAGCAAATTAGCATTCATTCAAGATTGATAATCATCTTTAGAATTATCTTTACATGCAATGGAAATTAGGGTGGTGGAGGTTTACAAAAAGCTACCAGATTTGTTGAGTTCAACAAAGAATCATTTATAACCAATATGATAATTTCCAGTATTTAAGACAATTTCGTCCATATAGATGAAGCAATGCCACTTAGAAGTCTTGGGCTGGGCTTTTGCTGTGCGTAAAGTGTGGCTGGTGTCCTTTGTTGAGCCCTGGTGAGCTGTTGACCACAAGGTGGATGGTTCAAACCCACCTGCCGCTCCGCAGGGGTGAAAGATGTGGTCATCCGCTCTCTAAAGATTGACAAAGCCTTGGAAACCCTATATTGGGTTGCGATATGTCAGAAGCAACTTCATAGCAGTGAGTTTGGTTTGATCTGGTTTGATTTGGGGATTGTGAATTGGGTGACATTTCACGGAGCAGAATCTTAGTACAGAAAATAGCGGCCATGCTAGCACTTCCGATCTCACCTCTCATGAAGAACAAGCCTGGGAAAACGTGGGTTGGTGTCGGTCCCCTACTTGAAGCCATAACGGTTTGCCTTAAGAGTTTTAGGGGACAGCCTTCCGACTTCCTAACCTCCTGCCAGTTGCAAAACGCAGCGGAGCAAAACCTACTGACCCTCCTCGCCTTGGACAGAGCTTTGCTGATGGAGAGGCCGCACTGCCCCTAGCGGTCTGCACCGGGGCTACAGCTCATCGGCAACCCGGTGGGCACACGCCTGCCTCCCCCCATCATGCACCTCGCGCCCTGCTGATTCACATATTTTTGCCCTTTGTCCTGTATGGAGAGAAAGGAAGGATGAATGGACGGTCTTTGATTGGCGGCGCTGGTGACGCCTCTCATAGTCCTCTTTGGACCGACCCCTTTGGAAATAATGGCAGTGAGGCAGCGCGCAAAGGCTTCTGCAGGCTAAGCTTAGCCCTTGCCCACGGGCCGGACCAACAGGTATGGTATGGTACCTTTGGGTAGCTTCTGGACTGGGAACCCTGCCTCTGTGCTCCTACCGCGTGTGCCTTTTCTGAACGGGCCTGGGTATCGGGGACCAGCAAGTTCTGCTAAGCGGTGCGCCTGTGGTTGGGCCAGATGCACGGAGTCGCTTGGGCTTAAACGGTGGACGGTGGAAGTGTGGAGTTTTGACAGCTATTAAAAAAAACTAGGTGCATCCTGGTAGTGCCGTGGATGAAGCTTTGGGCCTTAACCAAAAGCCCACCAGCCGCGCCATGGGAAAAAGATGAGGCGGTCTGCTTCAAGGATTTCCAACTCCAAAACGAACTCCCAACTGTGGAGTCAATGCTGACGCATAGTAACCCCCTAGGGCAGAGGTTCTCAACCTGTGGGTCGCGACCCCTTTGGGCAGTCAAACGACCCTTTCACAGGGGTCGCCTAAGACCATCGGAAAACACACAAACATTTCACAATATATAATTACATGTTGCTTTATGACTAATCACAATGCTTGGATCATGTTCAATTTGTAACAATGAAAGTACATCCTGTCTATCAGAGATTTACATGACGATTCATAACAGTAGCAAAATGACAGTTATGAAGTAGCAAGGGAAATAATTTTATGGTTGGAGTCACCACAACATGAGGAACTGTATTATTAAAGGGTCGCTGCATGAGGAAGGTTGAGAACCACGCCCTGGGGGGCTCCCAGGTATCTGGTGACGGGAGTAGAAAGCCCGTCTTTCTCTCTTGGAGCTGCTGGGGGGTTCACACTGCAGATCGCAACCCAAGGTGTCAATAGGACACCACGGGGCCCCTCCCGTAAAGATTTACAGCCTCGGACACCCTAGGGAGCAGTTTTGCTTTGTCCTCGCAGGCACTGTGAGCCAGAATGGACTTGACAGTGGTGGTTGTTTTTCTACTTCATTCGTTTCTTCCCTTTACTTCACTAACTAGAGCCAGTACTTCCTGTTCTCATGTTTCAGAAAGAACACTCTACTTTCTTTGTTGAGACCTAGTGGTCCGATTGGTTGGCATCGAAGCCTTTCCATCCATGGAAGAACCTTGCTCAATCGCCCAGGCTTGCCTTCCCAGAGAGGCTGCATGGGTTTAAAGTTCCCTGAAGGAATGGAGCTAGCCTCACTCACTGCCACTGAGTCGAGCCTAACTGAAATTTTAGGGTGAACTACCGTGGAAAGGCACTTATATCTCATATCCAGTTGCCATAACTGTGCCCCCCCAGAGGCTCCAGGGATTCAGCAGTCCAGATAAACAGGCCCTGGGAGATGCAGATAACTACTCCTTGGCTACTAACCAAGCAGTCCCTCCAGGTCAAGAAGCTGCAGGCATGGTTTCAAAAGGTCACAGCAGTGGAAAAACCAGGGGAGAGCAAGTCTACTCCAGCACAGGGGAGTCAGAGTGGGCCCAGCTTCTGGTGGGGTGGGCTCTGTGACAAAGCCAACGGTCTGCTCGAGTCCTGAGGAGAACCCGCTCATGGGGGAACTCTGATCTCTAGGGCATCGGGGCCTACAACCTGTCCCAAGACTTGGATACCAGGGGACTCATTGCCCCAAGCCTTCTCAACGTCAGGCGGTGGATTTGTACAACAGGAGTCTGACATTTATTTAACGTTGGGTGGTTCGGCAGGAAACTCAGGCCATGCAGGTCCCCAGTCATGTCGGGCCAGTTCTGTTGTTGGTTTCGTGTCTGTATCTCCCAAATCTCTGGAGTGATGGAGCATTTAAATATGTGCTTGAAATTTGGAGCGCATGAGTTTGTTTATTTTAGAAGAGTCCGTCTACCAAGGTGTTCCTGTAGTTAGTGGAAAAAGCCACTGTGATATTGTCACGTCATGCTACCTCTGTAGGACTTGTTCTAGCTGCCTCTAGAACCGACAGGTGGTCGGTTCAACCGGTGAGCTTCTGGTCAGCATCTGGACTGATGTCAAATGCGACTCATAACTTGGCGTGGTTTTGACAATAAGTCCCTGTAGCTGAGGAAGGGGCTCATGAGTAATATTTTCAGTGGTGAGGTTTAAAGAGGGAGATGGCAGGAGATAAATGATAGCCATCATTGAGTGGATTATGGAGTAAAAGGCTACTTCATCGATTCATTATTCAACCTGTGTTCCCTGGCTTCCCTGTGGGACCAGCTAAACTCCATGGGGGCTTAGGTTGGGCTCCTGACTGCCGGCAGCTTTCAATTTATGAATTTCTTATTGAAAGACTTGGACATGCTGAGGGCTAATGACTGGCAAAAAGAAAATGAGCTTAGCCTGGGATACATTATATAAATAGCTCATGCTTGGTATGATGATTAATGGCCTGCTATTGTTTAAAAGAACCGGATGGTTAATTGGGCAGTGACGTTCTAGAATTGAAGGGAAATTGTTCATCAGTTAAAAATTGCTACTCACATTTGATTTCCATCCTGGGATTTACAGGAGCTAAAACTAGTGCCGGGCCTTTGGCAAACACACACAAAGAAACAACAAAATTGCATGATTCTGTTATCTGTTAGTTGCTCTATTTGTTGGCTACAGTGAAAGGAACCATGTTGGGGCCAAACAATTAAAAATAGCCATGAGGACCCCTTGCTCACAGCTGACCACAGGGGAGAAGACCAGCAGGTATACCTGCATGCACTTTGGGAACTGCCTTGGCCATGTCTTGCGTGGCTGTCGTCTCAGCATCCCGCAATTGTGCCTTCCGCGTCTGAGGGTTTGGTGTTTCTCTACTTCATACTTACCTAGCCACACTTAACTGGTGCGCTTGGCTTTTCTTGGACATTCAAGATGGCTTAACACTCTTCCTTTGCCTACCTCTGGGATTGCATCTTTGGTATCCTTTCCTGTTCGTCATCGGCACTGCGAACCATTCGTTCTTTTGTCTGCAGGGTACCACATCCGGGTGATGTTGGTGTGTTCCTGTTCCGGACTCATCCTGGGAAGGGAATAACCTCATAGTGCACACATGTCATGGTTAGGTCATCAGCATTTTCCCCGACGCATCCTCATTACAATGATGCCCTCGACATGCATGGATTGTGCAGTCCGGATGTGACGAGTCCTTGATTTTCAGCAACTGTACCTACTTTCCCCTGCCCCAGTTCCTCGCCTCTGTGGCACATCGATCACGGTTATTTCAACACATTTCAGGAACAAATTCCAAAAGTCACAGCTATGTGAGACCATGGCCTTGTTAAAAGGCAAACTCAAGTACTCCTTCCCTTGGAGAGAGTGTCCTGAGTCTGTTCTTACATACACACGGTGCTCTTAAAATACGTACCTATCCATATATGTGTACCAATTAACATTTTCACCAGTCAGACTGCTTTTCTTGAAAATAGTCTGCGTGAATGAGCAACCTGATGCTGTGGCTCCTCTCACTGAGAGCATGGCAGCAAGCACTGGACCCTAGCTATTTCTGTGCTGTTTCTTGACTCGTTATGTTTTAAGGAGGTCTTTTTCGGTCTTGTCCACTAGACTGAGCTCCTTGAGCGCAGGAAGCAGAAATGCCTTTTGAATGAGAGATGGAGCTTTGTGAAGTACAAGGCCACAACTATCCGACAGTCACACGGAAAACACTGATGACAGGTCAGGGGGTGGGGGTTGGATTTCAGTAATACTGTCCTTGATAGTTCCAGGGGGAAATGCTGCCATCATCGTCGTCCCAGGAGACATGGTCTTGGTGAAGGGCCTTAAAACTCGTCTGCTGTAGCTGCTGTGACCATGCCAAAAGCTGACCAGGCTGCAGTGTTTGAGCCTATGAGGTATTTATGTTTCCTGTTCTTTCCTCAAGGACTCCGAGGAAGAAGCAGCCATGGCTGACAGCCCCAATGTTGTGAAGCAGGAGCAGGGCGAAAGGAAGGTTTCTCCATGCAGAGGGAAACTCCCCAAGGCTCTTGGCTACATCACTGGTGATATGAAAGAATTTGCTGATTGGCTCAAAGGTATTTCTCTTCCATCCTTGGGGAGATGGGAGAAGTCTCTTTGGGGGGGGAGCGGTTGGTTCCTTCTTTTTACTTTCATCTTTCGTTCCACCGCCTCGCCTTGGAGCTCTCTCTCTCCTCTGCATTTGTCTGCGCTCCACTTACTTCTCTCCCGCAAGCATCACCAATGATTTGAATAAAGGGAGCGGTCAGAGATCTTCTCATATGCTGGAAAGATGTCTGGCTCGACACTGTAATTTCAGTACTTAATGATGCAAATTGTACTATGAGTAATTCATTCCTTTATGTTAAGAATCTCACCTCTGAACACGGTACCTAAGTGCTTTCTGGAATTTCAGTTCTAGCAGGGCAGTGTGAGTTGGGCAAAAAGAAATTGGATATGGGTTCCATTGAGGGAGAAAAAGCTTAGAGGAACATCCAAAAGGGGTCTCATCTTGTGACCGTGACCTGGAGGCCAATGCTGGCCTTCTCCAGCCTCACCAGGGAGAGGAGACCAGGCCTAGACGAAGGTGAGCAAGACCCGTGCTCGCCACCTCGCTGCCCCTCTTCTGACACCGACCATTCCTCCCGCGGCACCGAGCTTTTCTGCTGGATTCGCTCCTTCACTGCAAGGGCCACACGGAACTCACAGGCAACACCCGCAACGATGGGCTTGATGAGAGAAGCTACAGGGTAGCCCCAAGCCAGAACTGGGAAGCAGTGAGCATGCAGGCATTTTCCACAGCACACTCCTCCTCAGCCAGCAGCCAAGGCGCTCTCTTGCTCAGTCCTCAGCCATGAGACCCCTTGGCCTCTGCCCCACGGCCTCATGGTCCTGGCACTGCTTCTCAGCTCAATCTCCCGGTCTCGGCCATGGCATGGCCTCTGCTGCCTCTGCTCTTCGGGCAGGAACTGCGAACGTGCCCCGCTGGTGATTCTTCCTCCTTGCTGGTTTCCAGGAATTCTCTCGTCCTGCTTCTGAGATGCCTCGTGCTCACAGCCACCCATCCCCTCTCTATGTGCTTCGCACGCCCTGTTTGCATGGTTCCACCCGATCGTTTGGTGGAAATTACAAAGACGTGGCTAGACAAGCCATTGCAAGTAATTTCGCCTCCTCTCGCACCTTGGTGGCAGGTAGTCGTGATGGTTTTGCTCGGAGCAGGTTCCGGTATTGGGAAGCCGTGCCATTGGCCTAGGCTGCGTCCTCAAGTCTGCCCATCTCGTGTCTTCCAGACAGGTCTGTGGTGCTTCAGTTTATCGACTGGGTTCTTCGGGGACTATCCCAAGTGGTGTTTGTCAGCAACCCCATCAGTGGAATCCTGATTCTGGTGGGACTTCTGGTCCAGAACCCCTGGTGGGCTCTCAATGGCTGCTTGGGAACCATGGTCTCCACTTTGACGGCCCTGCTGCTCAGTCAAGACAGGTAGGAGGCCAGCCAGGGACGCTGAGCCTACTGACAATGCACACCCTTCTCAAGAGAAACAGCCTTTGTTACACAGGACCCTTGCTATTTGCCTTTCTTTAGTCAGAATCAGGGGATCACTTCTACCCTTTGACTCATGGTGCCCGAGTAAGCAGCCAGTCTGAGTGATACCAGATTCTCATGGCAGCGCAGGTAACAAGAAGTAAGCTGCAAGGTAATTTCCAGAGGAGTTTTTTAAGGATCTCTTTTACGGGTTGATAAAACTCTTAGTCATCAGCATGTTGTTTGTTTTGGGCAAAAAGGTTTAGGAGTTTATGGGACGATTTAATGCTTTGATCATCCTCATTATGTTTCTGAAGTTAGTTCAGCAAACTCAATTTGTAAACAATTGCAAAGGTTAGGTTTACCTCCTAGAGAGATGAACAGCTGTAAAGTCCAAATTGGTGAGTTGTGACTTAGGACGCTTGAGTGTGTGTCTTCCGAACTACATGTTAGGTTAAAAACAGCATCTGCTTCAAACATTGATCATAAGTAATGAGCTGACTCCCACCTGGGGAGAGATGGCCCCGGACTGCTAATTCCTGCAGGTGTCCAGGAGCAGTGTGTAATCACCAGTCGATGGCCCTTCTGCAACTATGCTCTTGTAACCCTTGCTGTAAATTACCTGAGGATGTTTCAAGGAGAGTCAGCAAATGTCAGAGCCAAGGAGGAGGAGGATCTTGTCTCCTAAATTAAGCCCTATTCTAGTGTGCATCAACGGACAGTCTTCAGTTTGGGGCTGTGGGTGAATTGGACCTTATTGAATAGGCCTTCATTGTGACGCACCAGTGAACGTTGACAGCGTTTCCTCATCAGGCATTATTTATAAAAACACGCCCCACTCGCCTGTGTTCATTTTCAAATCTCTTTCTACTTGTCTTAGTCCTGAAGGACCGCATTAACATGGGAGTCTTCTATTTGACGGGAATGCATGTCCTCAGTTCTCTAACCAGGGCCTCTCACAAGCTGCAGCGAGTGACATTCATCTGCACTGAACCTCATTGCAGCAGCGACAAGTCTCGGCCTCTCTCTCTACTTGAGTCGTGTGCAATCCCAATTGCTGCCGTGCATCGTCACTTCCTGTAGAGCCCAGCTTACGGCCAGGCCAGGGGTTCAGAGCAGAACTGCTCCGTAGAGGTTCCTTCTGGAAGCAGATCACAAGGCCTGTCTTCTGAGACGTCTTCGGGTGGGTTCGAGCCACCAACCTTCTGGTTAGTGGTGAGCTCTTAACCATGTGTGCCCCTCAAGACAAAACTGAAACGCACTGCCATTGATCCAAAGCCAGCCCCCAGGACACAGTAGAACTGCTCCCTAGGGTGTCTGATTCTGCAGATGTCAACAGGAGCAGGTGGCCTCTTCCCTTCTCTTGAAGAGTGGCCAATGGTTTGATGTTGTTCATCCATTGTGTCAAGCACATTTGTACATTTGTTGCCATCATCATTCTCAAATCATGTGCTTTCTACTTGAGCCCTTGGTATCAGCTCCTCCTTTTTCCCTCCCAACTCCCCTCCCACCCTGATGACCCCTTGATAAATTATAAATTATTATTATTTCATATCGTACAGTGACCTCTGTCTCCCTTTACCCATGTTCCTGTTGTTCAGCGCCCTGGAGGGTGTGGTTATGTGTTGATCATTGTGATTCGTTCCCCCTTCCTCTCTCCACCTTCCCCCTACCCTCCTGGTATCGCTCCTCCCATTTCTGTTCCTGAGGGGTTTATCTGACCTGGATTCTGAGTGCCCTGAGCTCTTATCTGTACCTGTGAACAACCTCTGATCTAGCCAGAACTGAAAGGCAGGACTGGGGTCATGAGAGTGTGGGGTGAGGAAGCCTCAAGGAACCAGAGGAATATAGTGTGTTTCATTGGTGCTATACGGCGCCCTGGTTGGCCCATCCCTTCCTTGGACCCTTCTGTGAGGGGAGGTCCTATTGTCTACAGATGGGTGTGGGGTCTCTGTTCTGACCCCCCTCATTCTCAACAATATGTTTTTGTTTGTTTGGCGGGGTGGGGGGGTGCTGATGATTTGAACAACCGACCTAATGCGTAACCACTATACCACCAACTCTCCACTTGTGACCCCAAGGACTCCTCTGTCAATTGTGTTGGCTAAACCTGGGGCCGGCAAACTTGAGATGGAAGAGCTAGTTCTGGCCCTGGCAACAATTTAAAAAGTATTCCAGAGCCATAAATACATTTTTACAAACATGAAATCACCATTATCTGAATAATAGTCATTGTCCTTTTCAATTTTACTTCAGAGCCACATGTACACACCACAAGAGCTGCATATGGCTGAGAGCCAGTTTGCTGACCCTTCGGATAAACCAATACAAACTGTCTCACATGTCCCGAAGAATTCTTTAAGGGAGGCAAGGTTCTTTTGAACAGAGATTCCCACCTGGACGCCTCTTGTCCAGATGAATGTCCTTAATGCATTTTGCCTGCTGGCTCCTGCCCCTGGTTAACAAAGAGCCAAGAAGCTCCCATACACCTTCAACTCTGTGACGTCCTGGCTGCCATCACCGCTCCTTGGGGTCAGGCATTTGACCTCACCACACACTTTAACACCTTCACATGCACATTCCACTGACACACACACCCCGCCACCTTCCTCCTGTTCACACACACACACACGTACACTTTACCGAGTGCTTAGATTCTTGGAAAGTGGACCCATGCCCTTCATGGTCCCAGATATGGCTTGTGTGGTGCATGCCTAGGCTGTCAGCATTTCTTATTCTATAGAAGTCATGCCCATTCCCGGGTACAATTTAGGAACAATTCTGACCAGGGGTAAAAACCTAGGCGTGGGAACATCTTTGACAGTGAGCAGAATGAATTAGGTGTCACGTTGTCGAGTCAGAGATTGCTTTGTGATAACTTGGAGATGTATCTCTGGGGAAAACCAAATAGAAGCCTAGGAAGACAGAAATGCCCAATCAGACAGAAGATGGGTGTTTATAGGGGCAAAGACACGGTGAACATGAATCTACATCTCAGGAGTGTTAGCTCTCTCCCTGAGAAATCACACATCGGGAGCAACTTTTAATGTAAAAGCTCTATTCAAAGGAGAGGTCCTGAATGATCTAAAGAAATAAACACTTCCTAAGTGGGTGAAGGGAGACATCGGACAGTGTAAGACTGACAACATAATTTATACATTATCAAGGGTACATGAGGGTGGGAGAG